CTAACTAACTTACTACTAACTAACTAACAACCAACTAACTAACTAACTAACTAACTCTAACTAAAACTAACTACTAACTAACTAACTAACTAACTAACTAACTAACTAATAACTACTAACTAACTACTAACTAACTAACTAACTAACTAACTACTACTAACTAACTACTAACTAACTAACAAACTAACTAACTAACTAACTACTAACTAACTAACTAACTAACTACTAACTAACTAACTAACAACTAACTAACAACTAACTAACTAACTACTACTAACTAACTAACTAACTAACTAACTACTACTAACTAACTAACTAACTAACTAACTAACTAACTAATAACTACTACTAAATAACTAACTACTATACTAACTAACTAACTAACTAAACTGTAATAGTCTTACAAAACATTAAAACAAAGATCAAAATGACGCGTGGTGTGTGCCTAACTTGCAGCTTATAAAGCGCGAAACGTTTGGAAAGCGTAAAACGCGTGCCTCAACGCGTGTCGTGTACTTCAACCGTTAGTTCCAAAGTAAACCCAAATCGTATCGAAGTTAATTGTAAACATTTATTTAAAACCTGCTACTTATTCAAATCCCACTTCTACTCAATAGGATTCTTTCCCCTTTAATACGGTAGTTATTTGTATTAACATTTTTTTATACAAAACATATAGACATTTAATAGAAAATAAAATATATATACATATAAAAAAAAAACAAATTACATTTCCACTAAAATTTTTAACAATTATTGTTGTTTAATTAACCTTATTGAATAAATAATTGAGGCGTTACAATTATAACAAACAACTGCGAACTTTAATAATTGCTCACCGGCTACCAGGTAAATACTTATGCATTAAAATAAGGAATTATTTTGTTTAACAATTTTTAATTGTTTATAAGGTTAAAAATGCTATAATAAATAAAAAACAATTAATTAAACAAATAACGTCATATGCATCTAAAATATAGAACAAACCGTACAAGTTTTGACTATAAGGTTTTGGAAATTTTAGAATTTTATAAAGATTTAAATAAATGTTTTTTGTGTTTGTTGGGGGTTGCAAATCCAGGGTTATAACTTTATTCAATTTCGAGTTCAATATCATGAAACTTGTTGTTTTAAAATTTTCCATTTATTTATTTACTTACTTATTTTTTTTTAAACCGAAATGCTTGGACGCATATTAGGGTCAATTTGAAATAAGTATAGAATTTATTATTAATATTATGGTTGATGTTGTTGTTGTTATTGGGTTTCTTCTAAGTATTCTTAGTGTTATTATTTGTTTATATATTTTTTTTGCAAAAACAATTATATTTATATTTGTTATTATTTATTGTATTTAGTAATTTAAAACTAGATTTATGTATGTACGAATGTGTATGTCTGTTTGTTTGTTTTATTTTTCTATATAAATCCTTAATTGTCTGTTAATGTGGTGTTAAATCGCCAACAATCAGTATTCAAATTTAAACTTGTAAATTAGTTTACGTAGAATTTCAATACTGTTTCATTCATTCAATCAATTCATTGATTGTTTGTAACCGCATACAAATTGTTTAAACTTTTAAATCCAATGGAAAATACCTCTTGTTTTCAGAGTTTTTTTTTATTTTTTTGCTCACACTATAATATTGTTTAACGTTATATTGTTAAGTCAATAAATTAAATAGAAAAAATATAATCTTTTGTATTGATTTTCTATTGAAACTATTCTTCAAATACATGACTACATTTAAATGAATATCAATACTTGCATTGATGTTAAACAAAATTAGTATTTACATTAGATTCATACATGTGTTATTTTGTTTTTTTTTTTTTTTTCTCTAAATATTAAAATACAATTTCGATTTTTTTGAGAAATGGAAAAAAAAGTACAGAAAAAATTATTAGCGACCTGTAATTTTAGACATTATTATTATTGTTATTGGTATTAGCACTTATATTACTACAAATAAACTTTTATTAGGGTGACTCTTAGCAGCAGATTGTGTGAAAAAGTTTAGTTAACAGATCAGACAATAGACTGATCAATAGTCTAGGCAATAGACTGTTCCATAGATTATGCAAATATTAGTCAACAGACTAGTCCATAGAATAATGCATAGACTAGTCCATAGATAAGTCAATATATTAAAAAATAGACTAGTCAATGGACTAGTTCATAGACTAGTCTATAATATTGCCTGTAGTCAATAGACTAGCCCACATACTAGTCTCGTACATAGACTAGTTAATAGACTAGTCAATATAATAGACTGTAGATTAGTCAATAGACTAGTTTATAAAGTAGTCTATAGTCTCGTCCATATACTAGTCTGTAGTCAATAGACTACTCTATTGATTAGTTAATCAACAAGTCCATAGTCTTGTCCATAGACTATTCTATAAACTAGTCAATACACAGATTTATATACCAGTCCATATACTAGTCTGTAATCAATAGACTAGTCTATTGATTAGTTAATCGACAAGTCCATAGTCTTGCCCATAGACTATTCTATAAACTAGTCAATATACTAGTGAATAGACTGGCCAATAAACTAGCCATTAGATTAGACTATAGACTAACCAATAGATTAAACTATATAGTAAATAGACTGTTCGATAATCTGGTGGATAGACTGGTCTATAGACTGGTTTTTAGATTAGACTCTAGAGTGTTCAATAAGCTAGTCAATAGATTAGACAATAGACTAGTCCATAGACCATTTAATAGAGTAGAGTAGAATAGAGCCATGTGCCAGTAAAGAGACTAGACAATAGAATGGTCCACAGCATAGTTAATAGACTAAACTATATTGGTCAATTCATAGATTTGTCATTAGATTAGAAAATAGACTAGTCAATAGACTGTAGAAGAGACTAGTCTACAGACTATACAATAGACTACTTAGCCAATATACCAGTCAATGGACTAGTCCATAATCTTGTCCATGGACTATTTATTAGACTAGTCTATATACTAATACAGTATCTCCTCCATAATGTAGCCTGTAGGCAATAGACAAGTCATAGACTAGTTAATGGACTAGTCAATAGACTAGCATATATTGGTAAACAGACTTATTCATAGATTTGTCATTAGATTTGAAAATAGACTAGGCAATAGACTGTACTGTCCATAGACTAGTCAATAGATTAGACAATAGTATATAGTCAATGAATTAGACAATAGACTAGGCTCAGTCAGTAGACTATTCAATATACTAGTTAATAGAATGATCAATAGACTAGTCCACAGACTAGTTAATATACTATTCCGCAGATTAGTCTATAAGCACATACAAATCAGTAGACTAGTCCATGTACCACTCAATATAATAGTCATTACATATGATATAATCTATTGACTAGGCAATAAACTAGTCCATAGAATAGTTAATAGACTAGTCAATAGATTAGACAATAGAGTAGTTAATAGATTGGGATCAATTAGTAGACCAGTCAATATACTAGTCAATAGAATGATCTATAGACTAGTCCACAGACGAGTCTATAAGCTCATACAAATCAAGAGACTTATCCATGGTCCACTCAATATAATAATCACTAGTTATGATATGATCTATTGACTAGTCAATAGACTAGCAAACATATTAGTCAACATACTAGTCCACAGACTGTTTAAAAGACTAATTAATATACTTTTTTTAGAAAAAGTTAGTACTATTTCAAAATTTAAATTTTCCCAAATCGCTACTCTACTACTAATAATTTCTTGACAAGTACTTACATATTTCCCACATGTATACGATTAAGTTGTGTTTTATTATTATTTTGTTATTCTTTATTAATTTTTTTTTTAATATTGAAATTGAAAAGTCCAAAGTTGATTTAACTCTAATCAGCTGACACTGAATAGAGTTTTGTATTTAAAAATTAGTTAAGGTTGTGTTGTTGTTAATAAAACAAAAAATATTACTTACAAATTAATAACTAATTAAATCTTAAGAAAAAAATAACAAACTAATAAATACTAATGATTTAACTTATAATATCAAATATTTATTTATTTATTTGTTGCGAAAATTGTATGCTTTTTCTTAAGAAAAATAATTTCAATACTTTTTTTTTTGGAAAATTATTAATTGTAATGACATGCACATGCATAATTTTATAATTAAACAATTGCTTAATTCAATCATAAATATGTATTTAATTGTATTTATGCACAAACATTTTCCAATTAAATTTACTCACAAATATTCATTTATTTATAATGATCACTATGGAAGATTTTCATTATCATTCTTTATTCAATGCAAATAATTGAAAACTTTCCTATAATAATTGTATGTATTTAGAAAATTTTATAATTATGAATTATGTATTTTATGGTAAAGGTTGTAGAATATATCAAACTAAATATTTAATAAATTAAATCTTAATGAAACTGTACTGAAAATCAAAAGAAGTGAAGGGACCAAATTTGAATCGATTCCTTTCCACTTACAAACAGAATGGAATTCCTTATTAAATCTTTTACAATCGTAATATGTCACACAACTTTCGCAAACAAATCGTAAGACATGACGTCAAATGTAATTGATAGTCTACTGGTGTTTTGAGAATAATGCTACCCGGGCCTACTCTATGAACAAATTTTGTATGTTTAACACTTTATAAATTGTGGAATAATTAAAAAGCTATTGTCAATAAGACACAAACAAAATATTTGTAAATTTAAAATACAATTCAAAACAAATGCGGAAATGTTATGTTAAAAAAAAAGTAACGTCTACATGTTTTAAAAATGTCTTAACAAGTATTTCCTTAAATACGATATTTTGCAGTTTTTTTTCGTTTTTTTACGATATTAACTAACATCATGTTGCGGCAGCAGCTGGTACTGATGGGTTGAGGATGGATGTATATGGTGCTGGTATTGGTGGCTGTTGGTGCTATTGATGTGACTCCGGTAGCCAGCATAAAGAGGTATACATACATAAAGGATGTGTGATGCGCATGCATAATTTTGTTTATATTTTTTCTGGTTTTTATTTACTCCGTCATCGAGTGCGAAAAAAAACACATTTGGACGGTGATTTTTGAAACATTTAACAGGCGACTACGTGTGTCATCTGTCGTAGACAACAAATAAAATTGTTTAAAAATTCCATAAACGTAATTAAATTAAAGTAAATCTATAAACAAAAAACAATTGCTGTTTATTATTGTTAAACTTAAACTTGTGATGATTTTTATATAAAATTTTATTTTATTATATGATTTTAGTTATAAACAAAATAATTAAAACAACAACAAAAACTTCCACAATACATAATAAAATTAGTCAGCAGCCAACAGCGGAAGGAACCAGAACAAAACACACACAGGCAAGCAGACAGATAGACAGACAAACAACTCATTAGTCAGTGAGTGATTTAAGTTAATTAATCAATTAGTCAGACAGACAGATAGCCAACCAGCCAGAAGAAAAGGACAAAAAATTTGTAAAATGAAACCCATTATGTCGCGTGTTGTCATGTCCTTTATGATTTATTTAATCTTTGCTGCTGTGGTGGTAAACTGTGATGAAAAGAACATAAATAAATTACTTAATAATCAGGTCATTGTTAGTCGTCAAATAATGTGTGTTCTCGAAAAGAGTCCCTGTGATCAATTGGGCCGCCAATTAAAAGGTAAAATTATGTCTAGTTTTTATTTTATTTATCAAAGATTTTCTGTTTAAAAGCAGGATTAGATTATATACTAAAGTTTGTTAGTATGAGTTTTGTTGTGTATGTGTTAAATCAAAATTATTATTTCTTTTCTTTTATTATTTTTTTTTTTTTTTTTGACGTGCTCATAACCCAGTTATTTTTTTGCAAGATCTTATAAAGGTCTATCTATAGCTACTAGTTTATCCATCCATCCATTTATTCACTCACTCATTCATTAATCAATTTTTATGAATATATAGTTATAGCTATGCATATATGTACATATGTATGTGTATGTATGTATATGCATTTTTATAAAATTATGAATCGCTTAAAATCAGGACAAGTTTTTTGTTTAATTTTTAATTAATTTTTTTTATTTTATGTTTATTGAAATGGAAAAATTTCAAGTTTTTTTTTTGTTGTTTTTGCAAACTGTAAACGAAAATTTCCACTAAAATGCATAAAATATTATTTTGTGGTTTTAATATCCAAAAATTAGTTGTTCTTGTTGTATTTAAGTATCAGTAGTTGAATACATAAATTATGAATCTGACGTTCATATCATAAATTCATATACATTTTCACATACACGTGCATGTTTAAACATTAGGGAGGTACTACTCATGTTTCAAATTATTATTTGTTTCAGTTACTCGACATTTTCTCACGAATTTCCAATTGAATTTCAGAAACTTTTAATTTAATTTCATACAAAAGCTATTTATTGCGAATTTCATCATGAAACTATTGTTTTTAAGTGAATTATAGATATTCAAGTCCGTTTCTACAGGGGACTATATATGGATCAAGTGAATACGATCTTTATGAAAATCAGCAGTATCGTATTACTTTATACGAAAGTTAGTTGTGCTTATTTTTGTACAGATACTATTATATTTAACATAATTATAAGTTTTAAAGGCGTATTGAAAGGTCCGGTTGTATGGGGCCTAGGTAATATAATAAAACAATTTCATCCATTTTCAATAGGCTTTGTCTTTAGAAGATAATATTTCAAATATAATATAATTATTTGCAAAATTGTAACCAGTAGTTTGATAACAAGCATTACATGGATGACAGACAGACGGACGTTGCTAATTAGACCCTAAAAATGATTCTGAGCCGAAAGATTTTTATATCATCACGAACAATGAATACCTGATTTTTGTAGGTATGTATGTCCATAATGTATTTTCAACTATGAAGAATGCATATAAATAATTTATTAAAAGGTCAAAGTTCATCTTATTCCTTCTACATTTTGAAGATAACGGATTATATCTGCAAACTTTTTTAAATTTCTAAATGTTGTTAACATTTGAGTCAAAATTCAAGAAAATTTTTAAAGCCCTGAACTGGAACTGAACTAGAACTGAACTAGAACTAAACTAGAACTGAACTAGAACTGAACTAGAACTGAACTAGAACTGAACTAGAACTGAACTAGAACTGAACAAGAACTGAACTAGAACTGAACTAGAACTGAACTAGAACTGAACTAGAACTGAACTAGAACTGAACTAGAACTGAACTAGAACTGAACTAGAACTGAATTAGAACTGAACTAGAACTGAACTAGAACTGAACTAGAACTGAACTAGAACTGAACTAGAACTGAACTAGAACTGAACTAGAACTGAACTAGAACTGAACTAGAACTGAACTAGAACTGAACTAGAACTGAACTAGAACTGAACTAGAACTGAACTAGAACTGAACTAGAACTGAACTAGAACTGAACTAGAACTGAACTAGAACTGAACTAGAACTGAACTAGAACTGAACTAGAACTGAACTAGAACTGAACTAGAACTAGAACTGAACTAGAACTGAACTAGAACTAGAACTGAACTAGAACTGAACTAGAACTGAACTAGAACTAAACCAGAACTAAACTAAAACTGAACTAGAACTTAACTAGAACTTAACTAGAACTGAACCAGAACTATTAGTATTAGGAGTGTCAATCTTTCTATATTTCAAAACTCTCTATATGAAAATGAAAGCGTTAGACTATATTCGAAATGGCTTCCTTTCCAACCCAAATTACAAAATTTAAACTTTTACGGAATATCTAAAATCTTATAAAATACCAACATTAAGGGGTCTATTTTGTAAGTCGAACCACCTTAATATGCAGACAAATTAATGCATGCATATGGTATCTATTCATAAATTAATAATTATTTATTCTTCGGATGATTGTGAATTTGCCAATAAAACGAAACAAAAACATCAATAAATATTTATGTATGTTAACCCTTTAAGAGCCTGCATGTTATCTCATATTCAGGAGCACGTTTTTATCCAGTAGTTTGACCCCAATTTGAGTCTGAAATGCATGAGAATATAAGAACCAGAATAGTAAAATTAAAACTCAATTTAAAATCATTAAATTTTAAAATAAAACATCTGGAATATACATTTCTTTAAACGAGAAATACATATTAATTGTCTTTTTGATCATATATTCCAAAATTTAGGTTAATAAAATTCATCTTTAATTAAAAAGCATTTTGATTTAGAAAAAGTTTTTGCATAACTAGGTTTATTGTTGTATTAATATATGTACATAAATATAATATTATTATTCCCCTTCCGGTATATTTCCAGTTTTATTAAATAATCTGTATATACTCTATTCTAAGAAGACTGTTAAATTTAAACTAATTTTATTCGGGAACAAAATCAAAAATCAGGCTTTGATAAAAAATTAGTTGCCAATTCATTTTATATGAAATTAATTTGGTTTTCCAAATATTAAATACTTACTTTCAAATATAAGTTTTAAACTGAAAATTTCATTTTATTATACAATTTCGAATAAATACTATATAAAAATTAATCATTGTTTTATATATTTAACATCAATAGTTAGTAGTTAGTTAGTCAGTTAGTTAGAATCCCTTTGTTTGATTGTAGGGTTAAAAATAAAAAATTGACGTCATATTGAAGTTGCGTGTTTTGAAATTGTAATAAAAAGTTTTGAAAACTTCTCGATATCAATCTATGTATATAATGTACAGATATCTATACAAACTTCGTTAATATTAAGCAAGAATTTATTTTACACATGACTAAGTTTGCCAGTCATTTATGTTTTTTTTTTTTTTTTTTGTCTAATCTTTTTTCTATTAATATTAACTTTAATATTTTTTTATTCAATTTTATTGGCAAGAAATTTTCGTTAACGCTAACAAATTATTTAATTATTATTCGTCTATAAATGTAAAATTAAATAATAATATTCATGATAAATATACTTGGAAATAAGTTGGAAAATTTTAATCATCTTATTTACTGGAAATAAACTAGAACAAAATTAGAACTGAACTAGAACTGAACTAGAACTGAACTAGAACTGAACTAGAACTGGACTAGAACTGAACTAGAACTGAACTAGAACTGAATTAGAACTGAACTAGAACTGAACTAGAATTGAACTAGAACTGAACTAGAACTGAACTAGAACTGAACTAGAACTGAACTAGAACTGAACTAGAACTGAACTAGAACTGAACTAGAACTGAACTACAACTGAACTACAACTGAACTAGAACTGAACTAGAACTGAACTAGAACTGAACTAGAAATGAACTAGAACTGAACTAGAACTGAACTAGAACTGAACTAGAACTGAACTAGAACTGAACTAGAACTAGAACTGAACTAGAACTGAACTAGAACTGAACTAGAACTGAACTAGAACTGAACTAGAATTGAACTAGAACTGAACTAGAACTGAACTAGAACTGAACTAGAACTGAACTAGAACTGAACTAGAACTGAACTAGAACTGAACTAGAACTGAACTAGAACTGAACTAGAACTGAACTAGAACTGAACTAGAACTGAACTAGAACTGAACTAGAACTGAACTAGAACTGAACTAGAACTGAACTAGAACTGAACTAGAACTGAACTAGAAATGAACTAAAACTGAACTAAAGTAGAACTGAACTAGAACTGAAGTAGAACTGAACTAGAACTGAACTGAACTAGAACTGAACTAGAACTGAACTAGAACTGAACTAGAACTGAACTAGAACTGAACTAGAACTGAACTAGAACTGAACTAGAACTGAACTAGAACTGAACTAGAACTGAACTAGAACTGAACTAGAACTGAACTAGAACTGAACTAGAACTGAACTAGAACTGAACTAGAACTGAACTAGAACTGAACTAGAACTGAACTAGAACTGAACTAGAACTGAACTAGAACTGAACTAGAACTGAACTAGAACTGAAACTAGAACTGAACTAGAACTGAACTAGAACTGAACTAGAACTGAACTAGAAATGAACTAGAAATGAACTAGAAATGAACTAGAACTGAACTAGAACTGAACTAGAAACTGAACTAGAAACTGAACTAGAACTGAACTAGACTAACTAGAACTAGAACTGAACTAGAACTGAACTAGAACTGAACTAGAACTGAACTAGAACTGAACTAGAACTGAACTAGAACTGAACTAGAACTGAACTAGAATGAACTAGAAATGAACTAGAACTGAACTAGAACTGAACTAGAACTGAACTGAACTGAACTAGAACTGAACTAGAACTGAACTAGAACTGAACTAGAACTGAACTAGAACTGAACTAGAGCTGAACTAGAACTGAACTAGAACTGAACTAGAACTGAACTAGAACTGAACTAGAACTGAACTAGAACTGAACTAGAACTGAACTAGAACTGAACTAGAACTGAACTAGAACTGAACTAGAACTGAACTAGACTGAACTAGAAACTGAACTAGAACTGAACTAGAACTGAACTAGAACTGAACTAGAACTGAACTAGAACTGAACTAGAACTGAACTAGAACTGAACTAGAACTGAACTAGAACTGAACTAGAACTGAACTAGAACTGAACTAGAACTGAACTAGAACTGAACTAGAACTGAACTAGAACTGAACTAGAACTGAACTAGAACTGAACTAGAACTGAACTAGAACTGAACTAGAACTGAACTAGAACTGAACTAGAACTGAACTAGAACTGAACTAGAACTGAACTAGAACTGAACTAGAACTGAACTAGAACTGAACTAGAACTGAACTAGAACTGAACTAGAACTGAACTAGAACTGAACTAGAACTGAACTAGAACTGAACTAGAACTGAACTAGAAACTGAACTAGAACTGAACTAGAACTGAACTAGAACTGAACTGAACTGAACTGAACTGAACTGAACTGAACTAGAACTGAACTAGAACTGAACTAGAACTGAACTAGAACTGAACTAGAACTGAACTAGAACTGAACTAGAGCTGAACTAGAACTGAACTAGAACTGAACTAGAACTGAACTAGAACTGAACTAGAACTGAACTAGAACTGAACTAGAACTGAACTAGAACTGAACTAGAACTGAACTAGAACTAAACTAGAACAGAACTGAACTAATTTCCTATTTGCACATAATAATAACAGATTTGGTTTAATAATTTCTAAAGGAGCAATATTGACCCCGTCTAAAAACGCAGGGTGTTTAGATACATATTTTGTATCCAACACACTATGTAGCCAGTAAACGTTAATAATTTAAACTTTATAATTTATTAGAATTCATTAGTAATTATAGCATTGTTACCCCTATTCATTATATTTGTAAATGTTAATTTTTGTTTTATATATTTTTAACGATTCATTATTTTATTTTCATTAACATGTTATTGTATTTACAGTAGTTTTCCGATTTAACGAACATTCGTTTCTACGAACATCGCATTTAGCGAACTATCAATATTTTTGCATTGAGTACCTTACATAACGAACAAAAAATATTTTTTGTACTCAGTTTAACGAACAAATATAAATAAAATAATTTAAATTAGAGTTAAATTAACAAAAATAACTAAAAATCATGCCAGAAAAGCTTTGACGTTATTAGGAGGGGTATTTACTTTTCCATTGCTTTCGAATATGGATTTCGAGAGTTGATTTTTTCTAATTTAGTAAAATGAAGAATCTAGATAATCTGAGATTTTTTTATTAAAGATTTATACAAAAATATGAGATAATCAAATCTATAATCCTTAATGTCGCAAAAACTAATGTTGATCGAATTAGAAAATCGGAACAAAAAATGTTTAGAGAGGCCAAAGTATACTTTTCTATAAGCTCGTGCTCAACCCGAATTTGGCCTCAGAATTTGAAATCATAGAAATTGGTGTTCAAAATAAAGACTTTGCCAATCGTATACCTTAACATTTCGCTTTTATTTTTCGCCAAACTAACAAGTCCCCACTGTGACCATAATTTTTTCCAATAAAAATCAATTCTAAGAAATTGTAAGAAACGATATGTTATAGAATAAACAATATAAATAGTTTTTCTTTTGGAAAAAGGATATTTACAGGAATAGCTGTGAAATAAAGGAAAAAATATTTTATACAACTTTGGGTTCAGATATTTCAAAGAATGAAAACAATGAAACTGTGAAACAATGAAACGCTTTAATAACTTTACATTAATCTATTTCCTAAGGAATTCTGAGGCCAGGTTCAGATTCATCGCAATTCCAGCCATTGGGTTTAAACTTCTTTAAGAATTATGTCGTCCGAGTGCTTTTCCACAACGTAGATTAGTTATACGAAATAAACTGAGTTTTTTCAAATTTCTTTATTGTTTTTACATTGTGATATAAATTGCTAGTTTTTCATAAAATTCTTATAAAATACATGGAACATATTTTTATAAATTAGATTTTATGTAATTTTAATTATTTATGTACCCCAAAGGTTACTTTCGAGTTAGAACTGCATATAACGAACTTTTCGATTTAACGAACAGGCCTGACAACATATAGGTTCGTTAAATCGAAAAACTACTGTAATTGAAATCTGTTTTAATTGTATTCTAATATTATTTCAGCTGCTCTACCTGAGGTGATTGTACGTAACTGTCGCAATTGTTCACCCCAGCAGGCCCAAAATGCTCAGAAATTGACAACATTTTTACAAACGAAATATCCTGATGTCTGGGCTATGCTTTTAAGAAAATACAAGACATAAATTATAAAAACAATTGAAATTTAAAAGATATAAAATTTGAGCAACAATTTCGAAATATGCAATTTTAATTCTAAACTAAATGTATTGAAAAATTAACAAATTAAAGAAAAACAGAAAATTATATTGTATGAATGTATCGTCTACGTAAAACAAAATTATAAATAGATAAATGCATGTATTTATGTTTTAAATAGTAATATTTAACAGTTCCTAATTGTCAACTAAATGTTCATTTATCAAAATAGCACAAACTTGTTACACTTTACTACTACCGATATGTAGTAATTGCTTTAATTAATCACATAATAAAATTTAAGATTAACATTTTAAAAATAAATTTCAAATTAGTTTTTACAATTTTTTATTCATTCGATTCATTTATAAATGTGTGGTTTTAACTAAACAAAATTTGTATTTTTATAATTAAATAAAAAGAATTTACACTGTTTTACTAGGACGATATGAACAGACTACATAATCATATACTTTAAATAGTAATGGACTATGGAGTTATGCTCAAAACGTTTCCCAATGATTGCTCATAAATATCAAAAAAAAAAAAATAATAATAATAATTTTATGTTTCTGCGTGTTTTTGTGATTTTTCATTAACAATTAGTTGCAAAAACAAATAAAAAATAAAGAAAAAGAAACCATAACCTAAAAATTATTATTAATTATAATTGCTTTAATTTCAAAGACTTTACTGCTATATAATACTAAAACTAAAAACAACAACTACTATTACATACATCCAATAAAATAATTACATACATCTATGTATATGAAATAATAAAAATTTTAAATGTATTTACTTTTTGTTGGTTTTTATTATTTACTGCAATTTATTGCACAAAAAATCGACAATGAACTTCCTGTGGTTTAAATTAATAAAAAGCTTAAGACATAAGATACTTTGGAACTGAAGTTAATCATTTCTTAACTGTGTTAAATATTGATCACACGTGATTAAACTACACATTTTGTGTAACTTAAATCGTTAACCCTTTATGGTTCCATTATACTACACGATTTATAAATAAATAGTTACTAGAACTGAACAAAAACTGAACTAGAACAGAACTAGAACCAGAGCTGAATTAGAACTGATCTAGAACTGAACTAAAACTGAACTAGAACTGAACTAGATCTGAACTAGAACTGAACTAGAACTGAACTAGAACTGAACTAGAACTGAACTAGAACTGAACTAGAACTGAACTAGAACTGAACTAGAACTGAACTTGAACTGAACTAGAACTGAACTAGAACTAAACTAGAACTAAACTAGAACTAAACTAGAACTAAACTAGAACTAAACTAGAACTGAACTAGAACTGAACTTGAACTGAACTTGAACTGAACTAAAACTGAACTAAAACTGAACTAGAACTGAACTAGAACTGAACTAGAACTGAACTAGAACTAGAACTGAACTAGAACTGAACTAGAACTGAACTAGAACTGAACTAGAACTGAAACTAGAACTGAACTAGAACTGAACTAGAACTGAACTAGAACTGAACTAGAACTGAACTAGAACTGAACTAGAACTGAACTAGAACTGAACTAGAACTGAACTAGAACTGAACTAGAACTGAACTAGAACTGAACTAGAACTAAACTGGAACTGAACTAGAACTGAACTAGAACTAAACTGGAACTTAACTAGAACTGAACTAGAACTGAACTAGAACTGAACTAGAACTGAACTAGAACTGAACTAGAACTGAACTAGAACTGAACTAAACTGAACTAGAACTGAACTAGAACTGAACTAGAACTGAACTAGAACTGAACTAGAACTGAACTAGAACTGAACTAGAACTGAACTAGAACTGAACTAGAACTGAACTAGAACTGAACTAGAACTGAACTAGAACTGAACTAGAACTGCTGAACTAGAAACTGAACTAGAACTGAACTAAACTGAACTAGAACTGAACTAGAACTGAACTAGAACTGAACTAGAACTGAACTAGAACTGAACTAGAACTGAACTAGAACTGAACTAGAACTGAACTAGAACTGAACTAGAACTGAACTAGAACTGAACTAGAACTGAACTAGAACTGAACTAGAACTGACAAAAACTGAACTGAATGAACTAGAACTGAACTAAAACTACTAGAACTAAACTGGAACTTAACTTGAACTAACTTGAACTGAACTTGAACTGAACAAACTGAACAACTGAACTAGAAACTGAACTAGAACTAGAACTGAACTAGAACTGAACTAGAACTGAACTAGAACTGACACTAGAACTGAACTAGAACTGAACTGAAGAACTAGAACTGAACTAGAACTGAACTAGAACTGAACTAGAACTGAACTAGAACTGAACTAGAACTGAACTAGAACTGAACTAGAACTGAACTAGAACTGAACTAGAACTGAACTAGAACTGAACTAGAACTGAACTAGAACTGAACTAGAACTGAACTAGAACTGAACTAGAACTGAACTAGAACTGAACTAGAACTAGAACTGAACTAGAACTGAACTAGAACTGAACTAGAACTGAACTAGAACTGAACTAGAACTGAACTAGAACTGAACTAGAACTGAACTAGAACTGAACTAGAACTGAACTAGAACTGAACTAGAATTGAACTAGAACTGAACTAGAACTGAACTAGAACTGAACTAGAACTGAACTAGAACTGAACTAGAACTGAACTAGAACTGAACTAGAACTGAACTAGAACTGAACTAGAACTGAACTAGAACTGAACTAGAACTGAAATAGAACTGAACTAGAACTGAACTAGTACTGAACTAGTACTGAACTAGAACTGAAATAGAACTGAACTAGAACTGAACTAGTACTGAACTAGTACTGAACTAGAACTGAAATAGAACTGCACTAGAAATGATATAGAATAGTATATATTATATATAGTAGAACTGATCAAAAATTTAACTAAAACGGGTTTATAAGATTAAGAAGATCATGTCAATTGACAAGTTTTATACCAGTTCCTTTTAATATTATAATGTATTGAAAATATAGAAATTATTAACAATTCTATTAAACAGAAAAACAAAAGATATAATTCATTCCATTTCAACATTAATAAATAATGTCTCAATTGGCAAAATAATCAGAAAAACAAAATTTTAAAACAGCTCAATTAAAAAATTTTTAACGGTTAATTTATCAGTACAATTTTTAGTAAAATACACAACAATAAAATTTTAGTATTTAACATTTGCATAAGTAACACTGTTACTGTTATCCATTAGTTATTATGTGTGTTATCCATTTCCATATTGTTCCTGCGCATGTTATAAAATTTTATAATTTCTTTGTTAGATTAAAAAAGCAGATATGGAGAAAAAACGTTTATTTTTGTTTTTCGTAAATACTAAATAATTAAAAAGATTTTTGCTTAAAATTTTAGGCTTCTGAAAAATTTTTTAAATTTTAATTCCGTTAAATATACTAATCCAGCTGAAAGTAGTGATAAAGCCGCTTTTGAGATGTTATGTGTTAGCCGGCCACATTAGTTTTAAACGGCGTAGGTTTATCTTCTAAATTGAAGGATAGGATATTGAAAAAATTTACTTTTATTGAAACCAAATACTATTTTTTTGGGGGTTAAAAAAGGGTAAAAACGTCGTTATTTAACAAGGTATATTAATTTTATAAGGTAGTGTCATCGGCGAATTCAGAATACCAAGCGAATTGGTCATATTTTTTTTATATGTAGTTTGACATTGTGCCTGCACTTGAAGGCGAATTTGCTGTAAGGGAAAAATTTCAAAAACAGCTGACAAATAAATCAAAGCGAATTTATATTAAACAAAAAATTTTTATAAATTTGAATCTGTTTATAATTTATTCTGATGTTTTAACTTTTAAAGATTAAAAACACAAAAATATGCCCTAATCACACAATTTCACTTTAATCACAAAATGCACATATACAAAATGAAACCAGTTTGACATTAACAAAATGAAAACAAAGTTTGACATTTACAAAATGTAAACAAAGTTTGACATTAATTATACACCATGGCGAAAAATGAACATAATAGCAAAAAACGATCAGCTGTTCTGATAACACTACCTTATAATTAATATATCTTGGTTATTTAACATACACCCAATTTACACGATGATTTTTTTCATGTTTGCCCAGACGTCTGTTTTCATGTTTGTCGATGATTGGCGGTGAGCGGGGTAGAGAAGAATGGGGGGTAAGAAAACAAACATGATTTGGGATTTTTATGATTGTTTTTGACATTCCTCTTTAAACTCATTCGTACTGTTGATATTATGCTCATGTAAAAAAATAATTATGTCTTTTTTTACATGAAAACATTAAAATTTGCATTAAAAAAATACTATAGCGTGTAATTAAATTTTTTTAAATCAAATTAAATGGTTTTTATGTTAAAAATTTCATTTTATTTTTATTACGAATAAGTAATTAAAAAGGATTATACAATTAAACATCAAAAATAGACATGCATAGTGAAAAATCACCGTATAAATGTTCATGATTTTTTGGAAGATTCTCAAAAGAGAATTGGAAAAAACAGACGTCTGAAAAGTCTTAATGTAAATTGCGCCATAATTGTTCATTTAAAAAATAAGCGGTGCCTGGCACTTTTTTTAAATTCGGCCCCTTTAGGGAATAAACGGGTAAAAACTGTATTTTGGTACTTTTTCCACCCCATGTATCTTTTAAACCAGTGAACATTCAAACAATATTTTTGACTCCTTCATAACTTGACGAAAAAATAAAAATATGAATTTAGTACTTTTTGGATATTCGGACGTTTAAGGGGTGAAAATTGTACCTATTTTTGGTACTTTTTTCATAAAACATTGTTTATACATAATAATTGGCTCCCACTACGATGTTGCAACTTTTTGGAATAGAATTTTTGTTTCGTTAATGGGGAGAAAAAAATTACCAAAAGGGGTAAAAATGGGAAATTTGATTTTATTCAAACGCAATGATACAATTTAGATAAAATGTTTAGATTTAGAAACACTAAATATGCTAATGGGGTGTTATTTGGAACCCCGGTACCAAATGACATTTTTTGGTACTTTTTCATTATCCAACTGGTACTTTTTAAGTTTTCTATGTTATTGAAATCGAAACATGAAATTAATAATAAAGAGACTTTTCGGAACTTTTTCGTTCTACACAGGTACTTTTTTGAGTTTTCTTTAAAATTAAACCTATAAACATGAAATTAAGCATATAGAGCCCGGAGTAAATGAGGATCTATAAAATTTAAACTGGAGTATTTTCTGGTACTTTTTCGTTCTTTAACTGGTACTTTTTGAATTGTCTATAATATTGAACTTAGGAACATGAAATTATATAAAATAGACATTTTGGTACTTTTTCGTACTTCAACTGGTACTTTTTTAGTTTTCTAAAATATTGAATATATAAACATAAAATTAAACACGCAGTATCCTAATTGAACGAAAATTTAAAAAGGATTCTGGTACTATTTTGTTATTTTACTAATATTTTTCGAAAGCTTTTGTTTATAATTTTTAAGATTTTTTTTATACATCCCTGCATAACTTTTGTGCTCTCTCTGTTTTGTTGTTATAAACAATATATTTGCTTCCAAAATCCCATTTTCTGATCTCTCGGATTCGGTTTTTATTTAAAATCGTTGAAAATTTAAAACTAAACATAGTTGAAATAATAGCCGGCTTAGAGTCGATTTTAAGCCGCTGCCGACATATTTAGTGTCAGTCCTCGCCGCCGTTAATATTTGTCGGCGCAGGGCTCTGGAACGGATTGCAAAAAAAGGGTCAAGAAAAAGAAGTTGTTTTTAATTCTATCTGGACGAAAGATAACATGGCCGAGATGTCTCCGGGAGATAAATTATTAAGTGGTGCTACACGCAAATTGGGCCATCTGAAGATGGCCAAAGTAATGTTCTTAATCATATCAGCAATTGTTTGTATAATCATTTTTTATGCCAATACCAGCGTAATTGGTAGACGGTCACTGTTTGCACTGTTTCTTAGCAATCGTAATTCAGCAGCAGCTACGGCTGAGGCAGGCACCACATACGGTGGCGAATTATTAACAAGTCCTGAAAAGGCCACAACACTGCCGCAAGACCCACAACGACCACAAAATGAACAAGTACAACAGAAAGCTGATTTTGAAGACACTCTTAGATATAGATCTCAAGACTTTGCCTCGACGACAACCCGAAAGAGATCTCGCAAGTCGTTAATTATGAAAACTTTGCTCGTTAAGCCACCATCCACCAGAAATGCCTCGGTGCAAATATTCAACTTAAGCTCAACAGTATTAGGATCGGGAATAGGAACCGCCAGCTCAGATTACAATATCTTTGTGATATACACAAAGGAAAACTATCAGTTGCATGTTAAATTTGAATTATTCATTAAAAGCCTTTTGAAATTCGCCAACTCGGGAGTCCTGCTGCATTTGCACGTACTTACGGATGAAACGAGTGGACATTCTGTGGATCAGATTTTAGAAATTGAAGTGCGTCGTTATAGACGTTCTATTATTTATAGTTTATACAATATGCGTTTGTGTGCCGAGGAAGTAGTGGACATTGTCAATACAATGACACCGTACTTTAGCTCAACACCCAAATCGTACTATAGTGATTCGTTATTCTTCCTATCGTTAGGCTTGCATCGCATAGCCGACGAGAATATGGAACGTGCAATATTGCTAGATTGTGACATAGTCTTCCGTACCGATGTCCGTCTATTGTTCAATGAATTCGATAGATTTTCTCCCGATCATCTATATGGTTTGGCGCCGGAATTGACGCCTGTCTATCGCCACATACTCTATAGATATCGGGCCAATTATCCAAATACCGACTTTGGTAGTCCCTTTTATATGTCTACAAGTGAAATGCATAATATGGTTTCCGAAGAGTCCCAACATACTCAACATAAACTAAGAAAATCAGAAAGGCATAGCCTAAGACATGGTTATCCTGGACTCAATTCGGGTGTGGTGTTGTTGCATCTGAAACGAATACGCAAATCACAGGTGTATCATCAACAGCTACATGATTCGGAAGTTCGGAAACTTACCTCTAAATATATGTTTAAAGGACATTTGGGTGATCAGGACTTTTTCACTTTACTCGGCTATGAATTCCCCAATCTCATCTATCGCCTCGATTGTGTGTGGAATCGCCAGTTGTGTACGTGGTGGAAGGATCATGGCTATAGTGATGTCTTTGATAAATATTTCACTTGTAAGGGACGCATCAAAATGTATCACGGCAACTGTAATGCCCGAGTGCCCGAATGATTCTGTTTACCACAGAAGACCCACATAAAATGTACCGTTAACGTGTGTTCATTTACTCACTAGCTCACAGATTCACTACATGAAATCATCAACAACATCAAATCATCTCTTTCTCTCAAGACAATGATTGTATCAACAATAATTTAGCCTTTAGCCGGTAGTTAGGTGTTAATAAGAATATCAAAAAGACGAAAAAATGATAAACTTCGAATACTTATCGAAAATTAAACAAACAAAATTAAAGAAATCTAAATTAAACAAAAATATATAGTAATTAGTTTTTATTTGTGATATCGCTCGTATATTATATACTTACTACATATATTTGAAATATACAACAACAATAACAAAACAATTCAAACTAAACAAAAAAAAATATTTACGAATCTATTTCTTATTCTTCTTATTAACTCTTCGAAATTATACTCGAAATTTAAGTAGTTTAAAACGAAACTCAAAGTTACCATTATTACATACATTTTATGTAAGTTAGAAAGAAAGTACATACAACGTTATGTACAATAATAGTTTATAGTATATATATTCAGTAAATAAATACATATATTTAATTAACAAAAAAATATATAATAAAAAATTGGACATTCCTTAAATTATAAAAATTTTGTGTTTTATTTCGTATAAAAAAAACCTTAAACTAAACAAATTTAATAACGTAAACTAGTTTTTTTCCGTTATTGGTATCAGAACCGGTATTTAATCGATTTCAAAATTGGTTGTTGTTGTAACAGACTGTGGCCGACAACAGTTCTTTCCTGGGGGAAAAAATTTCTTTTGATACAGCTGTTGCTGGCTTGACAATCTTTGGCCGAGTATGACTCGGTTCGTTCCGGAGCGTAGTAACGATTGGTTAATTAGTTTACTTTTTGCAAGAGCATTTGTTTAGTTAAAACAGAAAGGTGTAGCGAATTTCATCAATTATAGATAGGACTGTAGAGCACATTATTGTCTCGTCAATATATCAGAATAAACACCGGACTAAGTCGAGGTTATATTCCAAACTATAGACTATACTAACAAACCATCAAAAAGAACATTTTCTGGAGCAATTTCGAAAATTATTTTAAAATAAATAAAAATCTTTAACCACTTAATACTTTTGGTCCAATTTTGCCATAGATTCAGGCCAATATTTCTGACACTTCAAATTAAAAACTTGATTCTTATTTTAAGAAGTTAAAAACAGAAGCAATTTTAAATAAAATCATGAACTTTTATTAACAAAATAATTCGAAATTTTAAGAAAAATCGATCGAAATTGAAACCGTTACGATCGGAACGCGATACATTACTGTATAACATACATACTTGTTGTTTCTACACAGAAACTCTGCTAAAGACATATACATATATAAAACCTAAAATTATCATAGACCGACATAATTTAAAAATGTCAAATATGTACCAGGAAATAAATTCTACATTTCATAAGAATTAATTAAGTCTCAATGTATCCGAATCTGAACTGACGATATTCTCCACATCAGCTTTTCTAGATACTTTAGACTAAATGTTGAAGATTCCAATTTTTTAACATATTCGAGAAGTTATAACAAAGCAAACTAACTTCTATTTGTAAAACTTGTTATATCGTCTGCAAGTGCTATCCATTGGCTTCAATATAAACTCTGTTATATGTTGTTTCTTCTTTGAGCTATGTTGATCTGAAGTTCAATCCTTTATAAAAATTCTCGTCACTAGGTTAAAAATTTGTTCACCTGTGTATTCATTTATTTTAGTCTTGCATACTTTCATGACCTATTTGCGATGAGTTTTTGTCTTGCAAACTTGAAGGAGTATAATAAACTATAAATTTTCGAATAGAATTTTCTGCATTTGGCAACTTTGGTATTCTGCGTATCGATACGACACTCCGCCACATAAACAACTTACATAAAGGTAATGCAGAATACACACAATCGTAAAGTATTGAAATAAAATGGAATTGCTTCTTCTTTTTCTTACGATTCCTTTTTTTTTATTGGAATTCCAATTTTCGAATAGAATAGGGGGGACTATAAACCACCTCCTGATATTATTTACACCACTTATGTATATCCAACAAAAAAATGGAATGGAGTTCAACGTTGTTGTTGTAACAGATTCACTGTGACTAGACGTTCTTTCAGCTTTTTGGCAATATTGGGAAACGAGTTGGTACGGAGCGAAGATCCAATTGTCGTGGGAACGAGTTTTAGGGTAACTCGACTGCTTACTTACTTACTTATTATTACTTATCTATTCTCTGGTGCACTGGATGGAATGTGTTCCTCCGAAATTATGGATCTCTTTTCAAGATTACGCCCTTTTGTAGTCGATTGTCCAGTGGGTCCTTACAATGTATTACTGCAAAACTCGTCCTTTAGCCATATTGTTCGTATGTGGAAAAACTACTCCCTGAAGGCTTTTATTGTCACTGCAAATTTAAATGAATATTCACAAACATTGCTACCTTCATATATATATCCTCCCTCCCAGAAATGAGTATCAGTCATAACCTAAATGCTGTTCTATAAGAAAAAAAACTTTCTTCTTCTTTAACTGACAACAGGCAAATTGTTATTGTAATATCTTCAAATCTCTAAATATTGTTATTTAAGTGTTTTTTCATAATCTTTTTTTTATTATTTTTTCAAAATATAATTCTAATTAAAGCATTTATTTAATAAATGTACTAGATTGTGTTTTGTTTTTTTTTGTTTTTTTCAAGAAATATTAAAACTAAATAAATTGTTAATATGTTGTTATTGAAAATAATAGTAATAATAATATAAAATTGTTGTTGTTAAATATTTTGTTTAAATTATGTTAAACCACGTTAAGAAGAACATAAATATTTACCACTCTATACACTTTATACTTTGTTATAAAACAAAAATCAAAAACATGTTGAACAAGTGAAAATTTATAAAAAAAAATAAGAAATTAAATTCGCAATTAAATATTTTTTTAGTTTTTTTTCTTATTGCTTACTAACATTAATGATTTTTGTTGTTTTTCACTGATCTTTTTCTTTTTTTTGTTTTATTAAAAATAGTAACACCTTAATTCTATTAAAAAAAATAATAATAAATATGAATTGTATATATTTATATATAATATTGTGTATATATATATATATAATTAGTATGTATATATAGTGGTGTAAATATATATGTATGTGTATGTATATAGTTAAGAGATAGAGAGAGTTAGAGAGAAAACAAAATACATAAAAGTATATAAATTGTACATACATATACTTATTATTATTATTATTTTATACTTATTTTAAATTAAGTTGTAATTGATTCTTCTGCAAGAACTTGTTTAACTGTTCTCAACTGTTCTCATTGATTTCACCACTAATTGAAAGTTTGAAAGTAAATAAAAAATATTAAATTAACAGTGGGGACACTACATACAAACACAAATAAATTTACAAAATTAAAAAAGCAAAAAAAAAAATTCGCACTGTTTTGGTTTTCAAAATTTTCATTTCAGTTGCTTAAGAGACAAATTAGAAATTAATAAAAAATAAAAAAAAAAAAAAAACAATTTATTAAAAGGCGTATAAATAGCAAGTCAACTGTTACAGTTTTTTAGGGACTCGATTCGTCTCTTAAAAGAAGAGATTGTAAGAGAAAATGTGAAAAGAAAATCATTTTCTAAACTCTACTAGTTTAATTTGTTTTGTTTGTTTAAATATTTTGTTTAACACTTTATAAATACAATAGAATGACGAATTTCCTAAAATGTTTAATTGATTTGTTTTTACTTAAGTTTTTGTTTTTCATACATCATTCAGCATCAAAAGTCAACAACAGTTTATTATGTTTTTTCTTTTTGTTTTGTTTGTTTCTTTTGGTTTTTCTTCATATATAAACTAAAGTTAATAATTTTTGTTTTTAATTTCTTTTTTTATATAATTTGTTGTTTCCAAATATTTTCGCTCGGCGTCTTCTAACAAATTGTGTATTCAATGATTTTTCAGTTTGTTTTTTTTTTTTTTTTTTGTATAATAATAAATTTTAAAACTAGATGATTAGCAAGTAGTATGAAAAATTTTAACTGTTGGTTTGTTTGGTAATTTCTGCTATTTCCGCTGTTTTGAAAACTTAAAATAATTATGTATGAATATGCATTTAAGAATGAAGATTATTTTTGTTTGTTTTGTTAAGGAGTTAAGTTGTTGTTATAGAGGAAATTTCTTGTATACTTAATGATTTGATGAAATGTGAAGTGTGTGGTTGTAGTTATTTAAAACTTGTTTTACTTTATAGTTGTATTATAGTTAATTTATTTATTATCTATAGCGGCAATATGATCTGGTGTTTCACTCCTCAAAAATCTTTGCCACATGCGCAAGAATAACTTTTCCAAACCTTTGGCATATTGTGAACAATCAAACAGTGGACTGTCAGCGCGTGCCTTCCACACTTTGGCACGCAATGTCTTGAGATATTCACGATCTGTGCCCAAACGTATGGAAATTTCTTGATATTCTTGGCGGGTACTAGCAATTAATTCGGGACATCCCAAGGTCGCCAGCTGTGAAGCGGCCACTCTGTAAAGAAAATATTATAAAATTAATAAATAAAAACAAAATCTTAAAAGGTAAATACATAGAATTTAACTAGAACTGAACTAGAACTGAACTAGAAATGAACTAGAACTGAACTAGAACTGAACTAGAACTGAACTAGAACTAGAACTGAACTAGAACTGAACTAGAACTGAACTAGAACTGAACTAGAAGTGAACTAGAAGTGAACTAGAACTGAACTAAAACTGAACTAGAATTGAACTAGAACTGAACTAAAACTGAACTAGAACCGAACTAGAACTGAACTAGAACTGAACTAGAATTGAACTAGAACTGAACTAGAACTGAACTAGAACTGAACTAGAACTGAACTAGAACTGAACTAGAACTGAACTAGAACTGAACTAGAACTGAACTAGAACTGAACTAGAACTGAACTAGAACTGAACTAGAACTGAACTAGAACTGAACTAGAACTGAACTAGAACTGAACTAGAACTGAACTAGAACTGACCTAGAATTGAACTGAACTAGAACTGAACTAGAATTGAACT